GCCCTTGCAAGTAAAAACTGCAGCGTCTGTGTGTTTCTACCTTTAGATTCTTAGCTGAAGAAGTGTCTTTAGAATAAATCTCTTGACAAGTGGCACAAATAATTTGTGTGGCATCTTATTGAATGCATAACACCTGATTGTTCTGTAAATAATTTGAAATGTTTTTTTTTTGTTTTTTTTGTTTTTTTAAAAAAAAGGGGGGTAAAAGGTAAATGGCTGCAAATAGCTTTGTTGTTTGCAAAACTTGTGCATATGATTTTAAAATTGACAATTTATATTTGCATTTAAAGTTGTGAAATATGATTCATTAAACATGTTTGTGGTTGTTACAGTAAAAAATATAACTTTTTCTACTCTGATTTTATGTTTTTTTGTCTGATTTTATATCAATTGTGTTAATATAGTATGTCAAAATGAAATCATAACTGTAAATTCAGACACGTGAGGTTGTGCTGAAAAGAATGATACCAAACAAGGCAAAGTAAATAGTTTTTAAAGGTGAAATGTACAGGGAAAATCAAAAGTAGTAAAAATGGGCAATTATACCCTGGACCCCAGAGGTTTTTTTTTTTTTTTAAAGTAACACAATAATTAATTTTCAAGTAATTAATTACTTTTAGAATATTGTAACTCAGTTACTAATTCAGTAACTTTTTTGAAGTAGTAACTAGTACTGTAATTAATTACTTTTTCAAAGTAACTTGCCCAACACTGGGGATGAGACAATATTATTTAATTGTACTTAATGGTTTCAATACCTGGTTGGGCACTCGGTGCCGTTTATCTCTATAGCTGCACATTACAGCTCTGAAAAACTGGATCAGTTTAAACGGAGCTTACTGTTTCACAGCCCGATAGTCTGTCGCAGATCAAAGTGAAATTAATTTTATTGGCTGAACAGGTATTCTCTGTGTGTGTTTGCCTTTCCAGCTGTGTAAAAACAGACAAATAGGCAGATTTTGGCCTTTTGGTCACTGCTATTGGGTCAATACTGTTTATTTTTCACCAGGCTAATAATCACAACATTATTTATAACAAACACATGGATATTCCATTAACAACGCAAGGCTTCATTCAGCAGTTTTAGTCAGGTGTGCCTTAACAAGCTGCACATATAAAGCATTCCACCAGCAGAGAATCCACGTTGCACTCAAAACATGCTTTACATAAAAGAATCTATGAAAATGGAGTGCTTGATTTTAAACCCAAACTCTGAACATAACCTGCTGCCTTTAGTTTTTAATTCTCTCAGCAGCTTGAATAAAACAGTCATTGAATTGTTCACTGTCAAAATGAAAAACAAAAAGACAAAACCCACAAAATTTTACACCCACACACAGAGGTCTGAGGAATCTTCCAGAAAATGGTGTCACATTTTCTGGAGATCTGCAGGTCAGGTCAGCAGGTGGTGACGTCATGTCTCTTGATTTCTAATCTGGAACCAAACCTGCTCTGGAGCAGATTACGTTCACAGTTTAAGTTACCATGATGATTTACCCCGATAAGAAGTGAACCGCATTAGTACAAAAAAGTTACCTGGATAAGCCAGAAGCCGGTTTTGTTGTAAAGACCTCTGGACAGGAGCAGGTCATGTGTTCAGCATAAGTTGTGATTTAGCCAGGTAAAAAGAAGTAGTTCACTTTCATGACAAAACTGACAAGGCCACACATCTTGCCAACTGTGTATAGTAAACCGCTTTGGTGGATGATAAGAGATTAAATATGCTGCTACTCAAGAATCTAAAGAATATTAAGAGTTTCACTTCCTGGTGAATAAGGGAAAAAACAAATGTTACGACATGTACACCTGCTTTCTACGTGTTAGCATGCTTCAGTTGCTTTAGCGTGTGCAACATAATGACAGCCTTGAAAGATAGAACAGCTATAGATTCTTCCTAACCAAACAGGAGCATGAGTCAGCACTGGAGGATTTCACAACAACCACAGTTGCAAATATTCACTTCTTTATAAATACAAGTCCAGATTCTAGGCAGCAATTTTGCTGAAGTTTAGTAATGAACAGAAGTTTAATGTTGATCTAGAACCTTTTATTTGAAACTAAACCACTGAAAGAAAACATTCACAATGATTTAACAGCCATCTCTTTTCCTTATTAAAAATCCACTATTGAAACATAAAAACCCTTCACTGATTCAACTCACAGTCTAAATGTCTAAGAGGTGTTTCAGCTCATCAAGGACAGAGAGAAATGAAGAATGCGGGTTGAAATGGTGCTCTATTCATTCTGGTATATGGACTCACCAATGTGACCCAACACAACATGCATACAGACTTTGTTTAAACAGTAAGACCCACTGAGAACAGCACCAGTTCACCTGCAAAATACCACATAAGCCCCTCTACAAGAAAGCATTTAACACTTTGAGCCTGATATTAAAATTTACAAACACATGACATAAAATGTTATAAATCACCCACTATTTACATCAAGAAAACATTTTACCCAATTTTTTCCTAAATGGTGGCAATTTAAAATAGAATTCAAGTTAAGCGTTGCTTCTTAAACATAAATGATAATATTTCAGATTTTCTTTATGGCAGAGAAAGGCAAAAAGGCAGGAAAGACATCCGGCTTCATCTAAATCAGTCTTCATTTGTACCTTAGTAGCATCTCATCTCTACACTGGAACCAAAATGAAACTAATGAGAGGTTCATTTATGCTTCTTAAAGCCCTTTCCCTCTATACCCTTGCACCACTGGTAGCAGTATTTTGGCCCTTTGGTCACTGCTGTTGGGTCAATACTGTTTATTCTTCACCAGGCTAATAATCACAAATAGTTATAGCTGATTACTTTTATTGACGACGTCATATTCAGGTGGGTGTAGAGTTCTACCACAGATCCAGATTTTCAGTATTGGCAAAGCCAGGGTCTTTGCGGAGCATCCAGTATGTTCCATTGTACAGCCACACCTCTCTGCCAGCTTCATCCACCGATTTTCTGGGAAAACAGACCAATTAGTGACATGCAACACTGGAACGTCATTCAACCTGGAAACATTAATAGGCCTAAATAAATAAAAATACATAGATTTCTGTGGGAAAATACAGACTCTTACAACACTCTAAAGAATGTGAAGTTTATAATCACATCCAAGAACCTCTTCTGTTGACAGTATCAGTGAGGCAGCCGATCACCACAAAACAAAAAACAGAACAAGCTGCTGATACCCAACTATGTTAGGCATCAAACATTTTATATAAGCTCTTATTAGCCATTAGCCACTGACCTAACAGTTTAGTTAGGTCTTTAAAACCACCTTAAAATTAAGGCCATCCTATACCCTGTCTGAGAAACAATCCTGGATGTTGTTTTTTTTGTTTGTTTTTAAATAAATGGGTCCCCCTCCCCCTCCTTTTAAACTGCCATCATGTTTATTATTTAGTGCTTTAAATACCAGCTTTTACCACCATTATTGGTTGGACAGAGTAATCTCTTTCCATCTTGTGGTCTTTGTTACATTCAAAATAATATCCAAATACTCCCATATTAAAAGGCATGCGCTTGAGCAAACCCCACATCTTGTAAACAGATTAGAAAATGACATTTATATACATTTCCTACAGAAAAAGGCTGATACTGAAGAAAAGGACACCAGATGTGTTGCTGCTTGAATTATTAACTAGACTTTTGACAGTCCACCACAAAACCAGAGTGAGGCAACGAGGAAAGCTTCTCACCTGAAGAACCTGGGGATGTGTTCCTCCCCTTTCTTGGCCATTTCTTTCCTCCTTTCCCTTTGGTTCTCCTCCACCTCATCCTTCCTTTTATCTGCTTCTGCTATTTTTCCCTCCTCCAGGAGCCTGATAGAGCAGACAAGAGTAAGGAATTGGAGCGCACAGAAGATGGTGCAGAAATGTCTGTCAGTCTACCATAGTTTAAATTAAACAAGATCTTGTGGATACCTCTGGTCCGGTCTGAAACGTGTGTCCGTAGGTGGAAGGCCAGCCTTCAATTCTGAAGTCAGTTCATTAAGTTCCCTGGCATAACTTGAGAAGCCATAGAACTTGGCATAGTCATCAGGCTGTACATCTGTATAGAAAAGGATATCGTGGATATTTAAAGATCTTTCATCTAAAACTTGAACATAGTTGACAAAACTCAGCGTTTGTGTATAAAGTAGATTAGCTTAATCATTTGTGGAAGAGATCAATGAGTCAGTCTTGGCTCAGGTTGAAGGTGGTCTTTACATGAATCATAAGATTGGAGTAATTTGTGAGGGATTTGAGCGCTGAACAGTGGTACTCACTGGGTTTCCAGATACATTTTGGTGTAGGTAGAGTATCACAGAAAATGCCTTCATGCCAGAGACCTCCGAAACGATGAATCACTGACCCAGCCTGGTCCAGAACCACACCCTGCACCTCATTCTTACTGCTGTCCGAGCTCCAGTAGCGGGACTGGGATGAAAAGATGAAGGCACTTAGCACAATTTCAATGCATTACATGGACCTCTGGCTAAATTAGAAAAAATATGCATATGTGCATGTCCTTACCTTGACAAAGGTAATCTTGCAGGTGCACACGTCACTCTTTGTGTTTCTGATGATCACCTCACCATAGTGCTCCAAAGAGCGTTGCTGACTCAGGACATTGTGGATACATGTAACGGCCTTATTCCATTCATAGTGATCACCATACCTAAACAAAAAACAAACAAATTATACTGTGATCATTGCATAATGAAATTGAAACAGTTTTTAAATGTATATGATTCGTACAGGCTCAAATTGTATATGGATTTCTAGAAATGCTGGTGCCTTGTGACAGCAAACTGCAAACCAGCCATCCTTTGCTTTAGTCTATCTTGTTTACTTTTTTACTAACATTTATAATATTGTCACTTCTGTGTCAGCATTTGTACCCAAAAAGCCTCAAGATAGTCTTCAAGGTCTCTCACTCATCCAATCAATCTTCTAGCCTGTTTGCATTTCTCCTTTTTATCTGGACAAATCACGCCTTTGAAAAATTAAGCCAACATGCAAGTGCCAGAAACTGCAATTCCTTCAATGGACAGTTTGGTGAAATTGTCCAGCTTTGGAGCAACATTAGGCTAGTTATTTATTCAAAAAACAAAAAAAACTAAACAAACAAACAAACAAACAAACAAACAAACATGCATGCTTTTGATCAGTCCCTTTTTTATAAAAACATTATTGTATGTAAAGGTTTCAATTATTCACCAATCTTGATATAGAGTAATGATTCTTTGTCATCTCTTGTACTAGTGTATGGTGTTGTATACCACTACTACTTAAATATTAAAGCACTGTCCCTTTGTTTGTCATCTTTTGTGGTTTAAAGTGGCATAAAATCATCACCTGGGTAGGGTAACATTAACCAGTCCAGAAGAGATGATCTCCACAGACTTGCCCCAAAACTTGTACTTCCATCTCTGATCTGAGAGCAGAGTTAAAGAAGGGAAAGCTGCAGCGTTAGGTCTGATTGCTGTATATCTGGGACTTGCTTAAGAAACCAAAAAACAAAAACAACACACCTTGCCAGAAAGTGAAGTTTTCTGACTCTGCATGGCAAGCAGAGATGGGTGGATGGTGGCTGACCTGAAAACATAAGACAATACAGCATTAAAGTCTGTTCTAAAACACCAATAAGCCGAATCATTATGTCTTCAGGTTACCTGTTCACTAATGTATTGGAATCCTTTGTCTTCTCTGTAATTCTCATACGTTTCACCCAGGACAGGGTTGAAGGGTTTGTAACGATTCCTCCAGGATGCCCAGGCATAACCAGATATGGAGAATGCTGCTACATAAACCTAAAAACAAACAAGACAAAAAAATTTTTTTTCCTTAATCCTCAACAAGCCTTACACCAAATTCAACTTGATTTGACCCCCAGCAGGTCAGAAATCATAAGCAATCCCAACACACCATCCTCTCATATGGATCATCAATGTTGCTGGCAATGTCCAGCAGCTCAGAGTACTCCAGTTCTTCACTGAGCCTCTGCAGCAGTGAGAGTGGCTCATTGAGAGCAACTGGCATAGACACTCTGGACAGATCCTTGCCAATGTTGTTGTAGAGGATGGTCATAATGCCAATGTGGCTGTTGTCTGCGCAGGGGGCAGGCAGGGTAGTGCGACGACCTGCATGGTAACACCACAAAACAGCGTAACATATTAAACAAAATGGATGATTAAAAAGACAAAAAAAAAACAAAAACACACACACACACCACAAAATGAGATAAACCTGGTCAACTCTAACCAAGAATAATCACAATATCCACATGTTCCAGGCCTCACTGGTGGTGCTTCCAAAACCTTTTATGGCAGCGGTCCTCAATGCCCGGGCTACGGACCGGTACCGGTCCGTGAGTTGAGGCTTGGGTATGAAATTTATGGTTTTCAGGGTTTTAATCGTTATGTTTAAACTCTGTTTCCCTGGGTCTTTCCCTGTGTGTTATGAATAAATCTTCTTTTTTTTGGTACTGGTACTGGTTTTATTTTGTTGTATTTATCCACGACATCTTAAAGGCCGGTCTGTGAAAATGTTGTCAGACATAAACTGGTCCGTGGCGCAAAGAAGGTTGGGGACTGCTGTTTTATAGCATGTTTCGAGATTCTTAAGATCCTTATTAAATTACAGGCCATACATGGTTAGAAATGTTGAAGGTCTCCCAAATGACAATTAAATAGTCTGGTATGGAAACTGCCACGCATCAACATACAGAGCCCTCCGGTGGATTATTGGCAGCTCTCTACCCAGTCTACAGAACATTTACACCTCATGCTGCATTCGTAAAGCCACTAGCATCATGGCTGACCTGCATCACCCCTCCCACCAACTGTTTACTCCTCCTCCATCCAGAAGACGACTCAGCAGCATCAGGAACAGGCAGGCAAGATTTTTTTTTTTTTTTTTTTTTTTTTTTTAAACAGTTTGCATCTTTGATCCAGGAGGACATCATTTTGTCCCACTGTATACTTGAGTGTATATTGTAGAGTTTTATTGTCAACCCAACAAAGCTCTACTGGACTAAACATAATTGAGGTAAGTTTTGGAGTCATGTTTAGCACCAGTTATGGCAGAAACTCATATTAGCCCAGATAAGCTCATGGCTGTCCTGCTGCCCTTTTCCATGGGCAAATGCCATTTGGGACATAGAATTTAAGTTGCTTCAGCCTGTATACGGCTGCTGCTGCAAGCCGCTTTGCAAAGCATGCTCATCCGAGCTGAAACCTAAGTGGTTTTGACAAAGCAACAGTTTGGTTCCAAATGTATACAGGCTACTTCACGTCTGAATTTTGTGTGAATCAGAAGCACGATTAGCAGCCATGTCTGTCCTACTGTTATCATTCCTTTCATATTAGTGGTTACCATGTTGAAATATAAATTTCCAGGTTTGCTTAACAGAAGATGACTCTACCAGTATCAGGAGGCACTGGCCGTGGCTTGTGACTTGCGCTGTTCAAACTTTCTCTGTAGTTAAGAGTAGCAGCAGCTGTGGAGGACAGAGGAAACAATGACTTGATGTTTTTGTTTCATGTTAACCTTTGTTGTGACACAGAAAATCGTGCAGTGGTGATTTATTTGAAAGTAAATACTCACAATGTCCTTCTTCAGGCTCTGATGTGCTAGTGGTGGTAATGTCACTCAGGCCCGATTCATCAGAAGCCTCGGCCTCTGACGAAGTCTCGCACACTATTACCTCGCTGGCATCAAAATACTCTGCCATAGAATCTGCCACTGAAGGTGGACGGTTACTGTGACGACTTAAGGAAGGCGTTCTCTGTAAGGAAACATGGTTCCAGCTATAGTTTGACTATTTAAGTCCAATAAACAAGTCTACCTATAAGGTGTGCGAAGTGAATTCAGAACAGTGACGACTGACATGCACAGTTATTTCCAACAGGTGCTACCCACACAACTTGCTCTGTAAGAATTGTAGGTGCAGCTGTCCCAACTGTGAATAACAGCAGCATTCCATGTTTTCCTTCCTTTGACCAAAGTTTCCCACAATCTTATAGCTTCAGTCAGATAAAATTTCTTCATGATCCTGAGCTAGAATTCAATGTTAATCAGGATGATTATTAGTGACACCAGAAAAAAAAAAAAATAATAATAATAATAATGCTACACACATACACTACACACCTGGTCTGGACGGACAGTGCAGAAGGATTCTTCAGAAGAGTCAGAGGACAGGGAAAGCGAATGGACTTTGGTCAGATGGGACTGTATATCAAGCTGCATGCGCGCAGGCACACATGCACACACAAGCCATGCAGGAGAAGTGCAGAAGAAACACACAGGATCAAAAATGCATGCAGCGAATATCACGCACACTCCAAAGCACAAACACAGCAGAGGTGAGGCAAATATTACTTGTTGCCAAGTGCAGTTGCTCTCCAGTACAGAAAATACCAGCACAATTAAACTGAATTATGTATAATATCTTAGCAAGGACAGAGCTTTTTAGTGGGCCAGGTAGGACTTTAGTAAATGAACTTAGTACAGGTTAGGAAAGGTCCCTTCAGACATTTAGAATTTCTGAATTACACCCACCCTCTTGCAAAAAAAAAAAAGAAAAAAAAAAAAGGATCTTTATCAATCAACTCTTCGTAGAAAAACTTTATTTGTCCTTTAAACTCACTAACTTATGGTTAGTAAACAACTCTAAAGCGATTTTGAACAAGAGGGTGAAAGTCTCACCAGTTTCCAGTAGAGTGCTATAACAGTAAATAAACAGGGTAATAACCATGGGATATGTTCAGCACTGTGGATATCAGTTGATAGCCAGTTGCCAAGCAACTATTAACAAAATAAAGCCCAAAGTCACAGCCGCTGATGTTCAAACATGCAGTCACATGCACCATGGTAAGAAGCCAAGAGGAAAGCAAGAAGTGTTGCATAAGCACAGTCAGTCTGACAGCAGGAGCCAACAAGTCCCTGACCTGACTGCTTTGTTTCAGTATGCGACAATCTTTTAATATGCATATTTGTGTATGAAAAGAAAGGAATACTTGAGGTGTGTTCCTTTAAGTTCCACCTGTATTAACTTGTGCCTGTCTTACCTAAAAAACAGCCCAAACCTGCTCAACAGTATCACTTAGGGCTGGGCCCATTGTTGCCGTTTGCAGGGCTACACTAAGATTTAGAGTGTTGGAAAGACACTAACTGAGGTATGGTGAAGGACCTAGTCTGTGTTATTATCTGGTTTATGACATCAAGAATTAGAAGTCAGGTTAAGTTTGCTTCCACATAGGCAAAAAGTGTCCATGTTTGTATACATATGTGTATGTTACCTCAGACAATGTGCTACAGATGGTAGCGAGCTGCTGTGAGGTGTTCTGCCTCATGTCTGGGCCGGTCCAGGCTTGCCTCAGTCTCTCACGCTCCAAGGTCAAAACCTCATGAATGGACTTCAGAGAACTGTGAACTGCAACACAGCAAAAGTGTAAGTGATAGATGAGGATTTTCACACTCTCAGCAATATGTCAAGATGTGTCAGGGAATATGTAAAGGGAAAAAAAGTCAATGCTAATGCAGAGAGCTTCAGACTTAGCCAAGTGGCAGCAAGGCCATACCTCTCTGAGAAGCAGTGCAGATCTCCTGGTGGAGCTTCTTAGCTTCAGGTGAGGTGACTTGAGGATTGGACAGCTGAGAGTAGACATAGTTTGGGATGGACTGAACAGAAGTGGAATTTGTGCTCAGATGACTGGAAGTGAACTGCTGGAGATGAAGAGAAACAGAATTGTATGAGGCTAAACAGTGGTGAGCTGTCTGATGGTACTGTAACAAGACATTAAGTAAAAAATTCCTACCATTCCCCCCATGGCCTCAGCACGAGACAGAGTCCTGGAGTGACCCGGCATTCGCCCATTCTTTTTCTTGGGTTTTTCCAGGGAGAGATTCTAAACACAGAAGTACAAGATTATAGCTTCTTTTTCCAGACCATTTTCTTTTGCAGCTTAGGGTGGAGCTATTCTGAAGCTGAGAATGAAATCCCAACAGCATCATATCACAGTTCCATCCTATAGTTTATATATGGTGCTGTTAAGGCTAATCTGGTATATAGTTGGTTAAGATAGTGAATGACCTGGAAAAATATTTCAGAATGAGCAATTATGGGTGCGTTTTGTTTAATTTCTTTTTGCATTTCCTAAAGAAAAACTAAGGTGAAGTGTTACAGCCTTTTTACTGGATGCCTATTGTGCTTGATACCATAAATTTAAAGCCCATTTAAAACATTAATTTCCGATTTTTGCTTCGATTAAACATCAAACTTTGTGTGAAATTACTTCCCCCCCCCCCCCCCGGTTGTTAAATATTCTTTGACAAGTGACACACATTCACATTTGGGACCAGCATACTTGCCTGCATGCTGATTCGCATCTCCAGGTCTGTGTTAGTGATAGGGTAGCCTCCTTCCAGCCAATTCAGTCTCTGGATAAGTTGAGCCAGTTCTGTCAGATCTGCCTGACAACGAGCCAGTTCTGATAGGCAGTGGGTTAAAGGTCAGTTTAGAAATGGAACAAAGAGACAGGCACACCTACTGATCAAATCTGTATTCATTGTTAAATATGGAGGACATATAATCAAGAATCAGGCCTCTCTTTCTGGCGCCATCTCTAATGCAGCTCTCACCATTGGACGTTGCATCTATGTCGTGGGTCTGCTGCAGCCAAGCTGATACCTTGCTGGTCACACCTGGTTGACTGGCAACAGCTGGGGCAGGACTTGCCATCTCTGGATTGTACACCGATGCAGAGCTGGCATAGTGAGGAATCTGCAGAATCATATATCAAGGTTAAAAGAAAGCACTTTCACAATTACAGTATCTGTAGGCAACTGCTGTTTTTCAGACTACAGTGATCATGGATTACATAAATACCATTTTCTGTATTTTTTTGATAGTCAGTTGTCTAAAGTATTATCATCCAAATTATTAATACTCAAACATTTTTTGGTCGCAAAAATGTTCACCAGTCTATCTGCAATTCTCCATTTGATTGGATTCCTATAGCACAAAGTAAATTTCCTTTCAGCTGTGGACAGTTTACTGGAGCAGGAAGTTATACTGACTGTTGCTCTGCTTTGCTGAGAGAAAGCCGGGAGAGTGCTCTGGCCCAAAGAAAGCGCATGAAGCACACCACGGTGGACACTCATGGCCTCATTTTTTCTGAACACACGATGGGCACACAGCTTGGTCAACCAGATGTAGAAAATGTCGTGACTTTTTGCCTAATACCAGAGAGAAGATAACTTATTTAATTTGGATACATCTGATTCTAGCCACAGTAAACACTTGACTCATCCTGGTACCAATAAGTTACCTTGAGGTGATACAGGTTGTCTCCAGCATCCAGGTCTATGCGTTTGGTCTTCTTATTCACAGACATGACAGCCATGCTGATGTCCAGAGAGCCATGCAGCTTCCCTCTTTGAATCTAAACACAATGGCAGAGGACATTTAACACTTTATTCTTCATCAGAGCGTATCATTATTGTTTGATGTTTTTGTGTTGGACTTACATCTTGCTGGGTCTTTGAGTACTTGAGAATGCCTTTCTCCAACAGAAAGTACCTCTAAAAAGAGAGTTTGGCAAATTAGTTGTTGATAAAAATTTTCACTGTTCAACCCTGCAGGATTTACTACAGTTTCACTGAGAAACTGGAAGAGCAAAATAGTTTAAATTCTCTCACTTTGTGCCAGCCTTTGAGCGGATATTTTCTCCTTTTCATCAAGTAGCCCTCACAGATCCCAGGAATACTGAGATCTCCAGATGACCCTGGAACCAAGCCCCTGTCAACATGCTGCAAGTCATCCACTACCTCCCAGTGACGAGACTGATGGAGACAGAAAGCACTTTAAAATTACATTTATGAAAACACAGCTTTTAGTTTCAGGTGTCAGTCAACATGTGGAGGAATTCTGTGATATGGATTGCAAGAGGGGGCAGAAATGGAGAAAATCTCTGGAAGCCCATTTGTACCAAGTGGGTTACAGTTTTATCTTTTACTTTACAATATAATTAGTGTCTTTTTTTCTTTTTACCTGTTTTGAGTGCTTGCCAGAACCTGTGCTGCTGCTCCGTGAGTGGCCAGGTCTGAAAGTGCTTGCTGGGGATTTGTCAAGGCCACTAATCACTGACTGGCTGCTACTGAGAGGTGGTGGACAAACCTGAGGGTCCATTGGTGCAATGTAATGAGAGTAGCGTTGCATGGAGAGAAATGACCTTCAACCCAAGTTGTTTCTCATGGCAATGTACACAGTGCTGGGGGGGGGGG